TTACTCTGTGTTGACGTCATTTTAACTGAAACAGGATGAGAGGGCGGGACATATCAAGCAGCCCCGCCCCTTTTTAAAATTGCCAATAGCGTTCGTTTATATCACAGCTTGGGCTAGAGCCGTTCAGAGCCGTTGAGCTCTGTAAAGCCGCATTTGACAGGGTGTGCCAGCCAGAAGCTCATCCATATTGCTATTAAATATAGCATTCTGTGTAGAATTCAAATAGCTCCGATACATTTTGTGGTCTGCGCCGACTCGCGCATCTGATCCGCTCCGTGCTATCGTGTCTCTGGACCGGAGCAGAGTGTGTGTGCGGTGCGGTGGTTAGCGTGACACAGCGCAAAACCAGACTTATTTTTTTCCTCAATGGAAAGCATATTTACACTGTTTGAATCGTTCCCTGTCCCCTATATAGTGCACTACGTGCCATTCACTGTACAGAAAATACTAATTCTGTGGACAAGTGACCGATTTCAGCCACGGCTTCAGTGTCTATTTTATAGTGTAGGGGGCGGGCACTTCGGATTCTAGAGAGCATTTGATTGGACAGAAAGTTTGATGAGAAGCTGAAGTACGATGTAATGTCAAAAAAATCGTTGACGGAAGTGACGAACTGCAAGCTTTGAATGCTTATATCTTCTAAATGCAATTTTTGTCGCTGTTTTGGAGCACACTGCCTTATAGATAACCTTAAGACTAACATATTGATACTAACACCCAAAAAACTTTAATTTTGATTTCATGGGGACTTGTCAGGAACAACAATTTCTGTTAATCCACACAATCAACGATATCGATATCTTATCATTCAAACCAACCAGAAGAATCAAACCAACCTCGTGCATCGTAAGCTGCCGGCCGTCCCGCCTCTTGGAATCGAACCGCCCATAGATGGCGCTGTATTTCCGAATCTCCGCCTCCTTCTGCGGATTGTCTTTGCTCATCTCGCAGATGTGGCCGATCATCTTGCTGAGCTTCTTATTGGCGCGGATGTGTTCTTTGACTTCCGTGAGGTCGCTCTTGGACAATGTTTGGGCTAGTCGCTCTACGCACTCCATCACGCACTGGACAGCGGCAGAATCGAGAGCATCGAGAGTGTCGTGAGGTGAACACGGAGAACCAGCTCCAGATGGAGATAGGCTGTGCTCGCTCTCGCTTCCCCAGAAACGAGTCTCGCTAGCCCCTTGCAGTGGGGAGCACCCTGGCATGCCGTACCTGCTTAGATCCAGTCTTCCAGGACTGGGGCTTGTGGGTAATAACGCCCTGGGCACCGCAAGCTGGTTCTGTTGCCCATTGCTGTGGGAACTTTCGGGTAGCTTGTACACTGGTATACTGCAAACAGGAAGAGACGTCAACGGTTGGTTGAAGATGGAAGGGTTGGTGACCCAATCCCGCAAAGCCTTCTGGAGTCTTCGAACGTGAAGGGGTTTGGTCGCCATTCCGACAAGGGCCATGATCTCAAGGAACTCTTCCTCACCAGCCTCACAGAGCTGCTGCACATCGTCGCCGCCCTGCTGGATGAAGGCTTCGTAGTAGCAGAGCAAGTTTGCCTTTTGCAGGATCCGGTACAGTTGCAGCTCGCCCAAGGACCGTGGCAGCAGCACTGACATGGCTACACAGGCAAACACAGAGCAAAACATAGCATTGTCATTCCCAGAAAATGTTTCAAGCATGAAGCAATGCTCGCCAATATTATTTATTTCCCAGGACAGGTCTGCGAACTCACACTATGACTGTCACAATTACTCTCCAGTTGCAATGTTCTTTTACTATACACTCTTTCAAAAGTTCACACTTACATATAATAAATAGAGTAAAGGTTATGCATATTTGGCGTGCTGTCCGAGGGGAACGCTCCGAGCTCGGAATTTGGCCCGAACCCAGAGTACTCCCCACCCCGGTTGGGATAGGAATAGTTAGAAGTGAGGAGATGGGGTGGTGGAGGGATGCTAGAAAACTGTCAAGGAACAGAGGTAAGTCTGCTGTGTATATATACCTCTTATCTTGTTAACTTATGTGCTCCTCTCGTGTTAATTAGGTTAATTATCTGAACGTGCTCCTCTCAAACTTTGTAAACAAAACATAATTAAGAATAAAGGTTCCAAATAGGTGTTTTTGCAGCAATGCTCCAGAAGAACCATTTTTAGTTCCCCAAAGAACCTTTCAGTGAACAGTTCTTTAAACGTCATTTTAGTAATCTAAAGATTCTTTTCTCACTACAAAGAACCTTTAGAAGAATGCAAAAGTTTCATGGATGTTAAAGGTTCTTCATGGAACCATCGATGCCAATAAAGAACCTACATTTTTAAGAGTGTAAATCATTTGTAAAGCCGATGTGTTTTTGCTTGCATCTCCGGTAAAGATGCGACAACACCACTTTTAAAAAATAAAGGTTCTTTACTGGGATCAGATGTGTTTTTGCTTGCATCTCCGGTAAAGGAGAGCGACAACACCACTTTTAAAAAATAAAGGTTCTTTACTGGGATCAGTGGTTTGATGAAGAACCTTTAACAATCCATGGAAACTTTCCATTGCACAAAAGGTTCTTTATAGTGGAAAAAGTTCCTCAAATTATTACAATGTTCTTTACACTAAGAAAAAATGCTTCTTTTAGGAACTGTTTACTGAAAGGTTCTTTGGGGGAACCTAAAATGGTTCTTCTATGGCATTGCTGCAAAAACCCCTTTATTTTTAAGAGTGAAGAGCATTTATCCATCACTTACTGACCATGATGTGATGTATAATTATTAAGCTACTCATAATGGAAAAAGGATTGCCAAAACATTTGGAGGGAACATATTATATGGACTGCCCAAGGCTACAGTGTATAACAACAAAATAAAAAATGAACAAAGATAAAGTAAGAAAAAATGATTGATAATTCTGACTCAGTGCACATAGTTTTATCTGGAATAGTACTTAGTCAGGTTAGTGCCATATTTCATTTTTGACAAGAATCCAAACAAGGCTGTGAGAGATAGAAGTACAGTGTTCAAAAGATTGTGCTTTTGTTTAACAACATGACAACTGATTAGCTGATGAAAAACACTGCCAAAAAAACTTTCAGAGGACAAAAGCTCTGAAAGTTGTGAAAATTACATGATCTAGTACCGGCACAGTTTTCAACCATGTAATATTCAGTAAGCCCTTACTAAGGTCTATACATCGTATCCAGTCAGACAGTCATAATGTTTAGTCACAGAAATAGCAAACTTTCAGTGCATTCAAAGCTCAAATTCGATACGAAAATCCTGTATCCGCAAAAAAAAAGATGTTTAAAAGATGTTATTGTTAACATTATTGTTTTTTAACATTGAAAACCTATACACTTTCCTTTTAAGTACTTATTTAGCAGATGTTTTCATTCAAAGTGTTTTAATTTATACGTATTACAGGTACAATACACTTGGCACAACCAGGGTTTGAGTGCCTTGCTCAAATGCAACTTATTGACCGGATCTTTCAACATTACACCACATTTAAATGCAATTACGAATAGGCTGTCACATACAAGTTCACATTGTTGCAAACACAGCTGTGCATTACACTATTCTCCACAAAATCATGGACAGGTTCCTGCAAACTCACCTGAGAAAATCTCAAAACTATTGCCTCACATGCACCTGGGAATCTCTTCGAGATCAATGCATGCAAATAACTCGGATATTGAGTCTATATGCCCAACTAGCTCAGATCAACACGCTTTGGCAATCTACCCTCCCCATCTGAATGGCTATGTATGAAATGTTTATATTAGTCCTCGGGTTCACGTACCTCTCGTTCGCATCTGGTGCGCGCGAGTGCTCCCGGTGCTCGCCGCTGTCTCGAGACAGCGCTCCGCCTCTCGCGAAGGAGAGAAAGTGCGTTGAAGACTCATCGGTGCTGTCTCTCTCTCGCTGAGTGTCTCTCTCGCTTGTGCGGGGATATTCCGATGTAAACTGCATTGCTCTCTCACTCCCACGCGCCGGCTTGACGCAAATCCTCGTGTGGGCGACGCTGCGCGCGTGGGACGGAATACCGAGAGAGAAAGAGAAGACCTAAACGGTCACACACGGCAAAATACACATTCATAATGACATATTGAGGAATATTAATCGGTAATACAGTGTGTGTTTTTTTTTCAACATGAACCCACACAGCTTTCAGTACAGCATATGCGTGTATTTTTGTGGTGGCCATGTTCATAAATGTAAATAAGAGAAACCCGGGAAAGTTGTCGCACTTTTTAGTACAGTAAATGTTTACCTTTGTAGTTGACTTTTGATAGTAAATTTAGGTGTAAATAAATACTTCAAAATGTAAAAAATAAAACGGTTTTCGGTTAAATAGTTCAGCCAAAAATGAACATTTGCTGAAATTTTACTCACCCTCAGGCCATCCAAAATGCAGATGAATTTGTTTGTTCATCACAACAAATTTGGAGAAATGTAGCATTAAATCACTTGCTCACCAATGAATCCTCTGCAGTGAATGGGTGCCGTCAGAATGAGAGTCCAAACAGCTGATAAAAACATCACAGTAATCCACAAGGCTCCAGTCCACCAGTTAACATCTTGTGAAGAAAAAAGCTGCACGTTTGTAACAAATCCAACATTATGGCGTTTTAACTTTAAAGGGGTCATACGATGTTGCTAGAAATAATTTTTTTGTGTGTATTTGGTGTAATGAAATGTGTTTATGCGGTTTAAGGTTAAAAAAACACATTATTTTCCACATAATGTACATTATTGTTTCTCCTCTATGCCCCGCCTTTCTGAAACGCCTTATACTGTCTTTTTACGCGTTGCATCACGTGGCGTAAACATAAAACCATGTCTGCATTTGTGATCGAAGCAATGACAAGCCTACTCTACACTGCTCAAAACTCACGTTTGAATCGTCAGTGGCAAATCCTTTAAATAAAAAAAAAACGTACAGTCTGTGAGTCAGAACAGCCGGCATCATAGTCTACTCTACCAGGATCAGGAAACAGCCCTCCATAAAATGTGCTGCACACATCTGAATATTTGGGTTGAAGTTAGAACGAGGCGTTTTAGGTAGGAGTGGTTGACTCTGAACTTTTATAAAGAATATCTCTTTGGATTTGAGACTTTAGTCTTTGCAACTTTAACACTCCAAAGAGAAAGGAAAAATTTTATCATGTGACCCCTTTAAAAGTCACTTCTAGACAAAGGAGTTGATAATCAAATCCATATGACACTTTCTCCAGTGAAAGTATTTTTTTGAACTGTTTTGATCTGTGCATATTTCTCTCCTGATTCAGATGAGCCTTTTTCATTCTGACGGCACCCATTCACTTCAGAGGATCCATTGGTTAGCGAGTGATTTAATGCTAAATTTATCCAAATCTGTTCTGATGAAGAAACAAACTCATCTACATCTTGGATGACCTGGAGGTGAGCAAATTTTCAGCAAATTTGCATTTTTAGGTAAGCTATTTCGGTAACAGTTTACAATAAGATTCATTAGTTAACATTAGCTAACTACTTTAGTTTACATGAACTAAGCATGGACAATACTTCTACAGCATTTATTCATTTTAGTTCATTTTAATTTCAACATTTACTAATGCCTTATTAAAATCAAAAGTTGTGCTTGTTAACATTAGTTAATACACTGTGAATTAACATGAACTAACAATGAACGACTGTATTTTCATTAACTAAAATTAACAAAGTTTAATAAATACAGTGTAATAAATGTATTGTTCATGTTAGTCAATACATTAACTAACATTAACTAATGGAACCTTATTGTAAAGTGTTACCACTATTTCTTTTAATTTTACCACTTAAATTCTTAAGCAGCACCAACACAAAATATTTTAATCACTGTATGTTAAAAATGCTACCAGTTTAATGACACTATGTCACGTAATGTGTGACTTTTTCATTTTTGTTTTCGGAAATGCATGCTGTAAAGTCAAAACAAGCAAGACTTTTTGCAACTTACAATGCAGACTGCGTTTATGCATTGTGTGACAGTTTTTCTTGTCCCCAGACTGTAAACCCCACAGGAAATTCACTCATGCTCTCTTGAGTGCAAAATCCCCCCTGAAACCCACTTAAGTATACTGCTATACAAATGTACATTCAAAATGGTCAGAAATTTTTTCCCTTCATGCATCTCAGTAAAAATACAGCTTTAAATAAACACCTTAACCAACACCACAGCAGAATCTACCTATAAAACTTAAATAATGCTTTGTTTTTCCCCCTCACACTAGTGTGTAAAATGCACAAGCTGCATATTAAAATGAAACATAATCATGTATCTAAAAGGCTGGATATTTAGATAGAGGGGCGCATCAGCAGCCTCCCATTTGCCTGAGCATCTTGAGCTATTTTGGGAAGGAGGCTGGGCACAGCAAACAGCCCCTGGGAGGAAGTGTGTGGCGGTTGCTGTCATCCCCCACTTTTTCGTGTTGGTCTATTCCTCAAAACACAAGCTTTTCCAAGGCATTTTCCATCTTATGTGACAAAAATGACAAGCGACAGCACCTTGCCTGCAATCACGGATCCTTTTACTGGGGTTTCGTAAAGTGTATCTGCTCTCAAGGGAATATGATGATTTTCTGTGTTTTGCTATCACAGTATCTGTCTTGAGGTCTATCTTTATATATTATATAGGTCTATCTTTGCATATATTATATTGTATATTCATTCATATAGATAACATTTGTGGAATGTTTTGCTTGAAACATTTTTAAAATGTTGCAAAGGATCCACTATAACAAAAAAAATAAATAAATAAATAAATTAATTAAAAAAAAAAAAATATATATATATATACACACACACATATATATATATATATATATATATAAT